TCCTTCCAGGTCGAGAAGGACCCATCCACTACCACCCTCTGGGTGCGACTCTCTAACCAGCTGGTGACCCATTGGACTGTATGGGTGTCTACGCCACAGTCCCCCAGCTTGTGTAGAAGTATAAAATTATTTTAAAGCCTTATTAGCAGACATGGGACATACAAAGTAGCAGTGTGTGGCTGGTCTCATCAGCAAAGCTGATTACCTATATACTTCACCTGTTTGCATTGCAATCTGAAGCCTAGAGGTTTTGTCGTGGATTCCTAGAGAAGCCACTCCGTGCTAACCTTGGCAATTCTTTAATACCCTAGAATGGCACGTAGGCCCACACAGCCAAAAAGAACCAGGAGCCAGCTTCATCATCAACCAGGTTTAGGAGCCATCCAGGCAGCAGCACAAATTTGAAGGGCTAGGATTTTTATTTTGGTCAGGTGCTAAAAGTTCCATGTTGCATGCTGTTTTCTTCACATCCAGGTATCCCTTTGTACAGTTAGGATCTGAATTGCCTAGAACTGTATAATTGGAAAACATAAGATCATCAATGTAGTAGGAGGTGAGAAAGCAGTGTGTTTGGAAACCAAATAAATACCTATTAAAAGTGTGAAGAGTTCAGTATGACAAGGATTGGAACCTGGGTGCCCTACACATTAGGGATCATAGTCTTGTTCACTCTCACTCAGTGAATGAAACTGGGAACCATTTCTACAGGAGGGATTAAGATGGTCTTAGTATAGTTTGGTGACTAGGGCCCTCTTCTGGGTAGTTGTGGGTTCAAATCCCCTTGGGCAGTGGAGGGAATTGGACCACGGTCTCCTACACCCTGAGTGAAGGTACTAACTATTCAGCTGTTTGATGGAAGAGAGTGGTAGTAGCACCCCCATTCTTTTTATTTTGTGGCATGAGATCTGTTAGACATACTCTGAGAGTGTCTGTAAGACCGAGCAATGCAGGCAGTATAGGCAGAAGACATCACCATGCAAAATGGTATTGCTTAGCATGTGAATCCTAACAGGGGTTAGGCAGTAGATAGTGCCCAGCTGCTTAGCAGTGCAGAGAGATGTGCTTCTGAGAGTGCCCAGAATGTGAAGCAGCGAGAGAAACGTACTATCAGACACTCAGGCACCCGGAGCCTCTGCTTTTAGTGTTAGGTGGCAGCTGCGTGTGGAGGTTTTGAAGATCTAAATTTTGGACACAAGTAACAAAAGTGGCAGTTCAGTGCCAAATCCTGTTTAAAAATAATTTGGAGGTGTAGCCCTGAATTTCTGCTTGTGAAGGCAAAAATTAGTTCAGATAACAGCTCCACAAAGCCAAGCTTTTGTCCAAGCCGTAAGAGAAGAAAAAACAATAACTGTGGAGAATTAATGAAGCCTCCGCTGCCAAATAAGAGGGTGGGATACTAGAGGAAGTCTTGACGCTAGATGATAAAATGTAACGACAGTAGCATCAAATGGTGTGCATTGTAGGTAATGGAGAAGGTCATCTAGTTCAACCCTCT